TGCATCTTGTCAATAAAATTATCGTCGCGGTTTATCACTGCGTTCAACATTTTACAGAGATATATATACACATGCACATCTACACAACTCTTCTTTTTAATATAATTTTGATTTGATAAAGCCCCAAGATTTGACAGAATTTCAAGGGAGGGAAAGACAACTTTAAAAACATTAAATGCTTAGATTTAAAAATCAACTGAGATGCATTAATCGTAAGATTGAAGGCAAGAAGCAAGGACGCGAAAGATGGTATTTGTACAATGCATATATTTGAAAATGATGTAATTTTGCGAGAACTTTAAAACGTGGCCGAGGATGTATCGCATAATCTCAGAATATAAACCCTGTAAAGGTGTATTTAAGCGCATTTAGCGAGAGAAATTTAATGTAAAGTTTCATTCGCGGTATTTCTAGCTCGCGAGCAATTGCGAGACGATTCAAAGAGAAGAATTTATATCATCGGCTGAGGTATTCCAAGCATAAAGTCAATATGACAAGGATTCATGCTAACAACTTTTGCCAGCTTAATGCAAAAGTAGCGCGATTCCAGATACGACTATTGAAAGTAATGAGCTTTAATATAAATAAATAAATAAATATATAAGAATATTAAGCACACTCGTGCGCGTATATCCACGCATTTTCGAGAGAGAAAGAAATAGTTACATCTTTTAGAGCGTGTGACAAAGAATAATCTACGACGCTGCTTCGAAACGTAATCAAACTGCAATCCGACGAGCAAAAGAATCCGCAATAATTTTATATATTCCAACAACAAATAGATATTGCAGGAACATATCCTCGAGCGCACCCCTGACGTTTATACAAATACATGTACACGCACAAAAGCCTGTTCGAAATATAAAATGTCGCGACAAGAGAACGAAGGGAGAATCGCATTTTTGCATACAAATCGAAATTTATCTATCTGCTTTGGATAAAAGAGAAAAACGATCTGCATTTTTTTTTAAGTTAACGACTCTCCCTTATAATCGCATCATCGGTGTACAAAGGAGTAAAGGAGGGAAAGAGTCGTCTCTTCTGGCTAGAAAACAGACGGCTAGATTTTTCTCGCTGCTTTTGGCGGAAATGGTGCGTCGTTTCCTTTATCGAGCAAGGGTGCCCGAGAGTCTAGCCAAGTAAACCTGCATGTCGGCCAAGTGAATCTTTCCCTCTTTCTCTTGTCCTTTCGGCTGTACCGCGTTGGTTTTCGTAAGCGAGAACAACAGCCGAGCTCTTTCGAAACTAATTAAATCCTTTCTAAAGTCACGCGCAGCTGTAGGTCGCATGTAGAACACACTTTAGCATTGATATAAATGATATGGGATCATAGGAAATTTGTTCGCAACAAGTTCGTTATTCTCGAAATTTAATTATTCGACATAATATAATTGCAGAGCACGCGCGTGCATGGAATAATATTCCATGAGTGTAACATTTAAGTTTTTTACTCGAGCTTAATTGCAGTTGCATTATAATTACAGAGCTACTAATATATATTTTAGTTATAGTTTAATATCGAGAATTATATAGCCAAAATAATATAGGGATAGTTAAAATTTAATTATGGTGGTTAATTTTTTTTCATACTCAATGAAAGAGGCTCATGAAAAAATAATTGCGCAAATAAGCAAACTGACTCGCAAATCTCGCGCCACATCGCGAGTAAATTAAATGAAAAATATTTGCTTCTGAATTGTACGCGGTGCATGGAATAATATTCCATGAGTGTAACATTTAAGTTTTTTACTCGAGCTTAATGCAGTTGCATTATAATTGCAGAGCTGCTAATATATATTTTAGTTATAGTTTAATATCGAGAATTATATAGCTCTAAAATAATATAGGGATAGTTAAAATTTAATTATAGTGGTTAATTTTTTTTCATACTCAATGAAAGAAGCTCATGAAAAAATAATTGCGCAAATAAGCAAACTGACTCGCAAATCTCGCGCCACATTGCGACTAAATTAAATGAAAAATATTTGCTTCTGGATCGTACGCGGTGCATGGAATAATATTCTATGAGTGTAACATTTAAGTTTTTTACTCGAGCTTAATTGCAGTTGCATTATAATTGCAGAGCTACTAATATATTTTAGTTATAGTTTAATATCGAGAATTATATAGCTCTAAAATAATATAGGGATAGCTAAAATTTAATTATGGTGGTTAATTTTTTTTCATACTCAATGAAAGAAGCTCATGAAAAAATAATTGCGCAAATAAGCAAACTGACTCGCAAATCTCGCGCCACATCGCGAGTAAATTAAATGAAAAATATTTGCTTCTGAATTGTACGCGGTGCATGGAATAATATTCCATGAGTGTAACATTTAAGTTTTTTACTCGAGCTTAATGCAGTTGCATTATAATTGCAGAGCTGCTAATATATATTTTAGTTATAGTTTAATATCGAGAATTATATAGCTCTAAAATAATATAGGGATAGCTAAAATTTAATTATGGTGGTTAATTTTTTTTCATACTCAATGAAAGAAGCTCATGAAAAAATAATTGCGCAAATAAGCAAACTGACTCGCAAATCTCGCGCCACATCGCGAGTAAATTAAATGAAAAATATTTGCTTCTGAATCGTACGCGGTGCATGGAATAATATTCCATGAGTGTAACATTTAAGTTTTTTACTCGAGCTTAATGCAGTTGCATTATAATTGCAGAGCTGCTAATATATATTTTAGTTATAGTTTAATATCGAGAATTATATAGCTCTAAAATAATATAGGGATAGTTAAAATTTAATTATGGTGGTTAATTTTTTTTCATACTCAATGAAAGAAGCTCATGAAAAAATAATTGCGCAAATAAGCAAACTGACTCGCAAATCTCGCGCCACATTGCGACTAAATTAAATGAAAAATATTTGCTTCTGGATCGTACGCGGTGCATGGAATAATATTCTATGAGTGTAACATTTAAGTTTTTTACTCGAGCTTAATTGCAGTTGCATTATAATTGCAGAGCTACTAATATATTTTAGTTATAGTTTAATATCGAGAATTATATAGCTCTAAAATAATATAGGGATAGCTAAAATTTAATTATGGTGGTTAATTTTTTTTCATACTCAATGAAAGAAGCTCATGAAAAAATAATAGCGCAAATAAGCAAACTGACTCGCAAATCTCGCGCCACATCGCGAGTAAATTAAATGAAAAATATTTGCTTCTGGATCGTACGCGGTGCATGGAATAATATTCTATGAGTGTAACATTTAAGTTTTTTACTCGAGCTTAATTGCAGTTGCATTATAATTGCAGAGCTACTAATATATATTTTAGTTATAGTTTAATATCGAGAATTATATAGCTCTAAAATAATATAGGGATAGCTAAAATTTAATTATGGTGGTTAATTTTTTTTCATACTCAATGAAAGAAGCTCATGAAAAAATAATAGCGCAAATAAGCAAACTGACTCGCAAATCTCGCGCCACATCGCGAGTAAATTAAAAATGAAAAATATTTGCTTCTGAATCGTACGCGGATTTACGTGACGAGGAATTGATATCCATATTAGCGCGCGAACGAATAAACGCGTGCTGTATACAGTTAATAAAAAACTCGGATGTAAAATGGGAATAACCGCCTCGATCAATTGCATAATACGTATATAACAGCACTCGATATAAACAAACTGTAACGCGTACATTCCACACGGTATCGAGAGACTCTGCGTGCATAATTATATCTCGCAATAATCACGCGTCGCATGCGCGCCGTTAATCCTTCCGCATGCATATCCATTGCGTAATAAAAGTTGTGATAATATAGGCTTGCAATACGTTACGATTCATCCCACTTGTTGTCGCTACACGTAATACATATGCAAGTATACGCCTCGATCCAAATGTGACGTTTCTCACCAATAAATGTCAGATACAAGAGCTGTCACGCGCGAATTAAAATATTCGCACGCAGGTCTGCCGAAATTTCGTGTGAAGTATAAAGAAGTCGCAAACACGAGAGGAGGGTGGAAAATGTCACATGTAAAGAGAAGGTGGAAAAAGAAACGCGAGTGTTTTCGTATCACCCCGCGAAAGGTCGATTCGCTCGCGGAAGGTTATAGACCTTGCCGTTTCATTATTAACGCGATGTATATCGATTTTGTCTGCCTGCCTCCGTAAACTCGTTTCTATTCTCGCGGTTGCGGATACGGATGAGAGACGGAAAGGGGAAGAGAGAGAGGATTCATCGCTGATCACTCGAGGAACTTCCGTCGAACGGCGATTCGAGAATTAATCATCATCGCGTCATGGCGAACGAGCCGAGGAGGGAGTCTTTCATTTCTGCAAAAAGGAAACTTTCTCTCGACGAACGCGGAAAATTTTCATTCCAGGTGAAATAGCAAATGTCGCCATCGCGGAAGACGCGTTTCTTCGTCAAGAAATATCAAACTATATTCTAATTTTTATTGCAAACAGATGCGCGATCGGTCTGTCTGAAATTTCTCTCGAGGGCGGATTTTGCGAGGAATTTTTATCACCCGCGAGATGAAATAAGATGTATAAATTTGCGTGACGCCGCTTAAGCTTCCGCTAAAAATACGTCCCCGAGACGAGCGCGTGTTGAAAAGCGAATCTCGCGCACAGAAAGTGTATTAATATATATTTTCTGTTGCTATAACACATTAGACTTTTACGAGGTAAACTGTCGAGTTAAAACGGATGTGTATATTCGGCAAGAAGAATCTTCATTTCTTCAAGGGCGTTGTATAAATCGTTCATCTCATTTATTTTCGAAGCTATATATCACGTTTGATGTACGATCAATTTATCACGATTTTCGAAATTGGATTACACTTTCCGGATGTGTGACGTATTACGCAATTAGAAAATGAAGCTCTCAGTGCCGGAACGTCGTGTAATTTATCATTTTTCTTCCCGAAAAAATTAATATAAATTACGATAACGAAAAGTTAAAGAATCGAAGAAAAATCTGCGCAATTATCAACAAGATAAAAAAATTCTTCAAGCTTACCCAACAACGTGTCCATCTCAGGATCGCGCTGATGGAGATAAACTCAAGAGCCGATCTTCATATTTATCCCCCGCCGAAGGAGATCGAGAGTCCGGAGGAAATCGATGGGGATATCTTCTCACTTTGAATTTAGCGATAATTAATGATCTCGTACACTCAGAAATTATACTCGTACAAAAAACTTGCGATTCTCCCTCATGACCGACGATAATTTCGTTTCCGCGGACAGAGAGAGAGAGAGAGAAAGTGAGAGAAAGAGAGAGAGAAAAAGAGAGAGGGAGAATCCGCCTACGCGAATGAACGACAACGGAGGGTCGTCGCCGTTTGGCCGGGAAAACCGACCACCTCGATGCATATCCTTCTCTTTGATGCCACGTGCTGATCGAGCGGGCGAAAGAGAGAGAAAGAGGAAGCCACGACGTCGGCGCGTCGCGACGCTTCCATCGACGCGCGCAATCGGCGCTTCCGAGATGCCAAGCCAGAGAATCGTGGTCGTTTTTGAATCGCCGGCTCGATCCTTTGAAACGAAAACAATTGACACTTCGTCCCACGAGAACCCAATTTAAACCCGGAAAAATAAAATCAACCCTCTCTTCTTTTCCGTCTTCTCGATACATGTGATACTCTCCGCTTCGAACGATGATAATTATTACCATTTTTTTCGTAGCACTCTGACACTTCGTAATAAATATTACAAATAACAGTCCTTTCTTCATTATTATTGTATCATCATTTATTCCGAAATTTCGAGGATTCCAATTACTCGTCATTCGCGGCGCTCTCTGTGCGTAAAGGGTTGATTCGTCGGGTTATTGGATTACTTAAAACAATTGACATTTCGTCTCACGAGAACCCAATTTAAACCCGGAAAAATAAAATCAACCCTCTCTTCTTTTCCGTCTTCTCGATACATGTGATACTCTCCGCTTCGAACGATGATAATTATTACCATTTTTTTCGTAGCACTCTGACACCTCGTAATAAATATTACAAATAACAGTCCTTTCTTCATTGATTATTGTATCATCATTTATTCCGAAATTTCGAGGATTCCAATTACTCGTCATTCGCGGCGCTCTCTGTGCGTAAAGGGTTGATTCGCCGGGTTATTGGATTACTTAAAACAATTGACATTTCGTCTCACGAGAACTCAATTTAAACCCGGAAAAATAAAATCAACCCTCTCTTCTTTTCCGTCTTCTCGATACATGTGATACTCTCCGCTTCGAACGATGATAATTATTACCATTTTTTTCGTAGCACTCTGACACCTCGTAATAAATATTACAAATAACAGTCCTTTCTTCATTAATTATTGTATCATCATTTATTCCGAAATTTCGAGGATTCCAATTACTCGTCATTCGCGGCGCTCTCTGTGCGTAAAGGGTTGATTCGCCGGGTTATTGGATTACTTAAAACAATTGACATTTCGTCTCACGAGAACCCATTTAAACCCGGAAAAATAAAATTAACCCCTTCTTCTTTTCCGTCCTCTCGATACATGTGATACTCTCCGCTTCGAACGATGATAATTATTACCAATTTTTCGTAGCACTCTGACACTTCGTAATAAATATTACAAATAACAGTTTTTCTTCATTAATTATTGTATCATCATTTATTCCGAAATTTCGAGGATTCCAATTACTCGTCATTCGCGGCGCTCTCTGTGCGTAAAAGGTTGATTCGCCGGGTTATTGGATTACTTAAAACAATTGACATTTCGTCTCACGAGAACCCATTTTAAACCCGGAAAAATAAAATTAACCCCTTCTTCTTTTCCGTCCTCTCGATACATGTGATACTCTCCGCTTCGAACGATGATAATTATTACCATTTTTTTCGTAGCACTCTGACACCTTGTAATAAATATTACAAATAACAGTTCTTTCTTCATTGATTATTGTATCATCATTTATTCCGAAATTTCGAGGATTCCAATTACTCGTCATTCGCGGCGCTCTCTGTGCGTAAAGGTTGATTTATTGGATTACTTAAAACAAACGGGTTGTAGATTAACCCAATTTAAACCCGGAAAAATAAAATTAACCCCTTCTTCTTTTCCGTCCTCTCGATACATGTGATACTCTCCGCTTCGAACGATGATAATTATTACCATTTTTTTCGTAGCACTCTGACACCTTGTAATAAATATTACAAATAACAGTTCTTTCTTCATTGATTATTGTATCATCATTTATTCCGAAATTTCGAGGATTCCAATTACTCGTCATTCGCGGCGCTCTCTGGGCGTAAAGGGTTGATCCGCCGAGTTATTGGATTACTGTCTCGTATCAACACGCGTTTGAAAACGTCAGGGGTAAACCGACAGCGCGTAATCTGTTTCGACAGGTATAAGTGCAAGACACATGATAGAGTCGAGTGCTAAAATCGACACGCTGCAAAATCCGTATCAGAGATGTTCTCGCTTTCACGATCTCTCGTAACATTCATCCACACCCTCATCCAATAGTCGGTTTTCTCAAAATCATTGTAGGCATTATATAGAATTGATTATACAGATTTTTGAGATTTGGCACGATTTTCATTTATTTGATCCTTTCTTCTTAAATTAAATAAACAAGGGACGAATTTAAATATTGCTTACGGGCGAACTGAATCCTAAAATCAACACTGCTCTTACACTCCCTATAAATCCACCCTAAGCATTATGGCCAATTTTACGAGCGCGGTACCAGTATCTCATATAAATACCTTTCCTTTTGAAGCAAAGAGACGGAGGGGAGATTACAACGAATTGATAGTAAAATTCGCTATATTGCTTCAAGAGAGAGAGAGATAAAATTGTGTGTATCGTGTAAATAAATAATATTCTCAAGAATTTATCGCGTTTTTATCGAAACTGCAGTTTTTGGTGTAAACGCTTACAAGTACCAATATATCTGATATATTTCGTGATCTGCGGTCAAGAAATATTTTTTTAAATTAAAGCAGATGATGCGTAATAAAAAGTCTCGTTATTGAAAAAATTAAGGCTCCTTGATCTTTACAGAAAATACACGCTGGAGATTTTTGCGTGCCATTTTTAGATAAAAATATATTTCAATAAAACAATTCAAACAAAATTCTTTGACACACTTGTAAAATTATACATACACACACATTCCGCATAACAAAGTCTGATGTTTCAATTATTTTACGGCTGTTGATTGATTATCACAAAAAGGGAAAAGGATAGTTTCCGGACAATCACAATCCAATATAGTCGCGGCGAGGATCAAGAAGCCTTAAAATTAATTTTTATGATCAATCTAAATAAACTTATAAAATATTATCTTGCTGGAAATATGTGTTACACGCAGAACACAAGTTTGAAATGATAACTTCGTAAACAGATATATATATAGTCCTTGTCTGACTCGATCAATCTTCGATGATGATATATCTGTGAACGAATGAGAAAAAAGCGCAAATATTCTTTTTTAAATTTAACTAGATTTATCAGAAAAACTAATTTTTTTTATCTCGAATGATTTAGTTATTAAATACACTTTTTAATAGTAAATAGTTTTTAACAATTTGTATCTGTCTTATAAAAAAAAGATTTTTGTTATACAAAAAAAACTTTTATGTTTCAGAAGAGCAGCAGTAAGGAGAAAAGAAATTGGAAAAATCATTCAATTATATTGGATATAAAAAAAACTGCATAATGAGCATTACATTGCCTTTACGCTACACAAAAAATAACAATCGTCTTACATTAAATCAAAGATTGTTCTACGAAAAGAATGGATATTTAGTATTTCCTGGTCTTATATCACAAGATGTCATCGATGAATGCCACAAGAGGTATATATTTATTTTTGATCACAATGTGATTTTTTACCTTTTTGAGTACTCTAAAAATTAATTGCTAGGAACGAAATCTATACGAAAATTTTAAACATAAAGAAAATCCTTCATATATGTTATATATATTTTCTTTGTATATGTAATTTTCAGTAATTAGCTTTTGAAACACTGTGTGTTAATATTTTTTCTTTGACCATTCTAGTTTTTAAAAAACGTCTGAAATATTTATTCAATATATAGTATGTAGATATGTAGATGTGTATATATAATATATAGGTGAATATTTAAAAAAGTTTTTAAAGCAAAAATTTACCGAAATATTAATTCAAAATAATAATTTTTGTCGACAAATAACTTGATAATCCAATGTTACTAAAATATTCTCGATGTTTCGGTAAATTTGCTCACGATACATATATGAACGTTCGCGCAAATACCGCAAACCGACTATGATATCACAGATGACTGATATCTGAATATTCAAATCGGAAATCTCTGAAATGCCGGGGTACAGTAATTGCAAATATGAGCTTCTTTTAATATCGACTCGTGGAGAAATATGCGTATCTGGATATTTTAGTTTGTCGAAAAAAAATGAGTTATAAGATCCATCTTTTAAGGCCAGAAATTGTAAACCTCTAATAAACCTCTTTCGCTTGCTCTTTTCAGATATGACGATATTGTCGAAGGCAGAACTTCACGAGACGGAATCACCGTGATGTACGACATAAAGGACAAGAAGACGGTAAACAAAATACAGGACATACATCTGGACCCGACATTCCGTAAATACATAGAACACAAGGAAATCATCGACATAGTCGAGTGCTTCACGGGACCAAACGTATTAGCGATACACAGTATGCTCATCGCGAAGCCTCCCGACATTGGATTCGGTAGTTCAAGGTGAATATCTCGTACGAAAAAGCCTTGAAGTTAATATTAATAGAGCAACATACTCATCTCTCTCGTAAATGTAAAAGCTGACAAAATAAATAACGCAATGCGCTCTTGCAGACATCCGCCGCATCAAGATCTGTATTACTTTCCGATACGTCCTGCTGATCGTATAGTAGCAGCCTGGACAGCCATGGAATTGTGTAATAGCGAAAACGGATGTCTCTACGTAGCACCTGGATCACATAATTTCGGCCAGATATTCCGGCATGATTATCCTCCAAATTCGGAGGGCGTGATAAACAAGTTTTATTACGGAATACAGGTATATATAAGACACTTTCTTTTATCTTTTCCTATTTTCTTATTCTATTAACTTTGTTCTTGTATTAATCGTGATATTATTTCTTTCTTTCTCCTATGTTTTGAAGGACTTGCCTACGATCGATCAATGGGTAAATCTCGAAATGCAAGCCGGCGATACAGTATTCTTCCATCCGATGCTCATTCATGGATCCGGCGTTAACTTATCCAAGAATACGAGACGGGCCATTTCTTGCCACTATTCGACAGCCAATTGTGATGTCATTGATGTATGTAAAATATAGGGCATGCAAATTCGTCATTGTATTAGTTAAAAATTTTAAGAAATAATAAATAATATTTTTGTAACAGGACGATCCAACTCAGGACCCCATCAGAAATGAGATCGTGAATTTTGTGAAGAAAAAATATCCCGGCGTAACTTTAACGTACGCGGATATATGGCGCTTCAAGGCTTCGCTCGTGCGCGGTCTTCGATCATCTTTTTGAATGTTTAATAATTAAATTATATTGTATATTTTGAAACGGGAATAATAACCGGGGATATTAAAGTTAACATAGTTTCGATATATTTGTATATATATAATAATGTCAATGTAAGAAGAGAGGTCAACATGGGATTCGTTTAATGGACAATATGAGGTGTGACATTCGGGAGAGAGATGGATAAGTAACATTACTACAGAAGAAGAAGTAACGACAACGGCGGGACTGTCGCCGTTATTATTTAATGAATTAAAACTGCGTTGGTGTCGTTGAGAATTCAACGGTTGTGAGACGTAACAATGTTTCGCGAGAGGATCTTTATAAGTGTTCTCGTGTTGCACGCTCGAGCTCGATGTGCGACAAACGGCTAAACAAATCTTAAAGCGATCCAAATTATGTATACGCAGTTTCCCACCGTTTTTTTGCATCCTCGCAGACCCCGACTTTCGACCTCTCATTTGTAAAATTTGCTGAAATAAATTTATATTTTAATGACAAATTTTAACTGATCGATATTGTAAGCTTTCTATCCTGAGCATTATAAATCCATGGATAAGTGTTTACCTTATCAGGATGCAGGCAACAAGAAACGCAATATTCATAAATAGTGCAGCATCCTCGCGAATTGCACGTTTGACAGCTGTATCTCTCTCTTTTAACCATAGACCAAATCTCGTCATTTTTCGAAGCCTGTTCCGGCTCTATTGCACAACATCCATTTGACAGAACTTCGTGTCTTGAACATACTATGCCGCGTTCGTCTACGATTAAACCCTTTCCCTAAAATAAAATATCATATAATTGTTACACAGAATTGTAAAATGAGTAAAATAAACAAGAAGAACTCATTTGCGGCAAACGCGCACCTGAACGGAATTGCGACAAGCATCGTTCTCGTGATTGATTACATCCATATTTCCAGTATTATCCGCTCGATCAGGTATTTCTACTTGCCAGGAAGGTTTACTGGATATTCTTAGCTCTTCTGGAAGCATGTTATCATCAGGCATTAAATCTTCATTGTTATCATTAAGCATCATAGGATCCATATCATCAAAATCATTGTCTAGATTCAACGAATCTTTCTGTAACAAAAATATAACATATTTTTGTAATAAAAATCATATGGACCACTTCTAACTGTCACTCGACTCAGCTGAAATCCAATCTTGAAATGGTTATTGTAGACTATGCATCTTAGGATGCTTAAATGCACTTGCCTTTTCACTTCGAAGTAATGAAAGAGCACAATACGTAAGTGACAGAGCGAAGATGAGTCCAAGAACGACACGTCGTCTGATTAATCTAATCAGACTCGCACAACTTCCAAGCATCCTTCCTGACGTTTTGTTGAACAACTCATCAAAACAGCTTCGAATTCTCCATGCATATGATCATCGAACGTAATACTTGCAAGATCATTATCCCATATAAAAAATGCATATTATCATGAAAGAGGCTCAGCGAAAAGAACACTGAAAAACGTAATCTCAAATTTGCAGATTCGGAAGAAAGAAGTTATATATTGCTGTCGACACTACATTGTTTTTGATGAGAAAGCACTTAACCACAAATATCTATACTAAGACGTACATTCCGTTGCACGCCTGATGCATCATTCATCCTTGTTCAACATTTGGTGAACAAGAAAGATAACTGATACATTTAGATGTGAAGCCATTCAGCAGAATGGCGGAACACGGAATAAGAGCAGAACCAATCGCGAGCGTTCCGCGAAATTCAAATTCCTACATCTCCTTGGAGCGGAATGAACGTAAGCGGAACGAGCAACGCGTTTCTTAAATGACTAGTTAATATTTGTTTTAATTATTCGTTTTATTATTATTTATTTTATTTAAATATTGAATTGAATTAGCAGAGACATAATTTTCCAAAATCGATGCATTTTGTGATTAAATATCTGCGCTCTATACCTCATATATCCGTCACGTTACGCGACATGCGTAATGTATAGAGAAAATATATTTAGAAGAGGAAAATGTCGAGCTCGCGACCTTCAACCACGTTCATGTAATTGTCTTCTAATTATTTGATCACTGATTCTATGACGGAGAACTTTATTAACAATTTATCGCGCAATCATCATTGGTGCGCGTCGCGTAATATTAATGTTGGCGATAATGCATAAAAATGCATAGGTAACTTCGATAAGCCGTAACTCTGCGAAAAAAATTGTAAAAACTTTTCTTTTTTTTTTAATTAGTAGGAAAAATTCCAAATTTTGCGAAAGTTATGATAAAAAAAATTTATTTCATCCCGTGGACTGCTTCAAAATACGAAACTTTTAAGAGACAAAAGGTGTCCTTACTTTTGAAATGATAACGGATGAAGGAAAAGAATAAATTAAAATTGTCACAAATGCTTCTTAAAGTAGAGACTTAAAGCTTGACAACTAAAAAATTTCAAATATGACTATTTTTGGCGGAGTTACGATTATTTGAAGTTATGCGAAATTTGACACAAAATTACCTATGCGTTAATTTTGTTGGCTAGTGTATAATTGATTATAAGGATATTAGTTTGGACTGTAATGTTTAGTAATTTTGCGGATTTAATTATAACAATTTCGAAAGCTAATTTATGTAATTTATGTAAATTTATTTTGATGATTATATTCTTTAGAGTCTTCTCCATGTTCTGCGACATTCGGTTTAGCTTTGCAAAATATTTCGTCTTTAGAACATGTCTTTGGAGAAAAATAAACTTTTTACAATTACGATAACTATATGAATATGCTTGTTAATATTTGTGGAATCAGACAATGGACGGTTACTTTGAAATATTTAATAATAGCAGAGAATATTTTATTTAACTTTAATTATAGTATATACGATATGTAATAAATTTAACTATGCTGCTATATGTGTATTAAAACACCTATCAATCGATCGATCGAAAGAAATTCTTATCTTTGATCGTTAAAGATGAATTTGGCTCGTTTCTTGTCTTGACTATTTTTATTGCGATTGCGTAGCAACGATGCATCCGAAAGAGAGTAAGTATCGGGTTCAAATACCGGCGGATATTCTAAGCCAGGGTAATCGGGTGGCAAAGATGTTAGCGGAGGTATACTATAAATTGGAAGTGACCAGTGACTCCCTGTAACCAGATAAATATCCGCTGCCATACTGTAAAAAAAAAAATCCTTTATTTATTGTATATTTCGCTATTATATATAATCACTAATAATATAAACTTATATGCAAAATTTAATGTGATGTACATGATTATAAATTGTATTTATTACTTTACATTTTCTATGTTCACTTAACAGTTAATATATTTTAATTATAGCGATTTTCTATAAGAATTTTCTATATGAATAGCGTTGATATTTTTATCTCCGATTATATCTCCCGTACATCTTTAAAGTAAAAATTAATAATTTAATAACTTCAATCCCTGTTTAAAAATATGAAGATAATGATATATGTACGCGAGCGTGTGTGTGTGTGTAAAAAGTGGAAGTATAGTGGAAGAACTTAGTCCAGCTGGTTCAGCTATAAAGAACAAATTATAAATTAAATTTCTTTATAGAAACTGTTCGTAATTCTAATCGAAATCGTTTTAAGCAAAAAATTGTTATACTTACAGTAAAAATTACGAGTAATTTATGAGTCACTAGTAAAATAAAAAAAAATATAAAATGTGTTAATAAACCGATCACAACTGGCAATGTTATTCTTTAGTTATTTATTCAAAATTCAAACAACGTTTTGACCTTAGTTCAGGTCCTTATCAAGTCTACAATCAAAAAGTAATAATTATAAATGTTAATAAATTATTAAATAAAAAGCACATTTTTAAAAAATGATAAATAGCGTAAACCAACACAGAAAAACAGTATCCTTGAAAGAATGCAAATATGCCTTTATTCAAGTATATTTTATCCTTATAATAGCACCAAATATAAATAATTTTGGATAAAGGATAATTTATCCTTAAAACAAAGTGCAAAATATTCTTGGTTGAAGCTAAAATTTACTTATAAATATTGCAAGGACAAACGACAAGTGAACATCGGATATAAGCGGTACTTTCAAGTATATATAATAATTCTTAGTTCAAATGTGACTAAGTTTGTTTTTACCATATGCGATTTTTAAAACAAGAATATATCTTAAGAATAAAATATCATTTACACAAACTTATTTATTATTAAGGCAAATGAAAATTTTTGATTATAAAGAGCATTCTATGCTTAAATCAATCAAATAGCGTTCAAGAATAAAAATATACTTGAATCAAGGATTCCTTTTTTTCTGTGAATGTATATAAATTAATCAAATAAAAATCATACCTGCTAAGAAATAAATTGACACACTTCTACATAATAAAATTCATACTAAAATTCGTTCTACGTTTGTTAGACATTAACGTCGTGATATTAGAAAACGAACTAACTAAGCAGCCTTAATAACCAAATCATATATAGGATTGAAATTCTCTGTGTCTTTCTAAAGGTTGATCGTGTTGTTAAATTTTTTAATGTAGAACATTTCTGCTAACTCTCTTTTTCTCGTATGTATTTCCCGATGTAAAATATTAAAGGTTGTCCATTTAATTAAAGTCGTGTAAAAATTTACTTCTATGTACGGCTTATTTCGTTATGGTTACTATTGTGCACTTTTATGTTATTTATATGTTCCTTTATACGAGTATTTAAATGTCTTTTAGTCTGTCCAATGTATGTAGCGTTGCAGTCATTGCAGTCAAGTCTATAAACAACCTCAGTCATCTCCGCTTTGGGAAGTTTGTCTTTTCCTCTTTTTATTAAAAGCCTATGCTTTTACAATAGATCGCTCGATAGTATTATCAAATTCTTGATATACGGCATTGGGATACAATTTGAAATATCAAATTCTTTATTTTTGCTCTAATTTATTTTGACTTTGTATTGCGACTTTTTATTAGAATTTTTATTTATTATAGATAATTGGAAATCGCAACCGTATTACGTTTTGTTAACAAATACTGTAGTTATCGATGTTATATTTCTGTATACATTCCTCTTCAACATAATTTAGAATACAATATTAGACCGAAAGACCGCGTGCGGTTGAAACGTTTATGGAAGGTTTTTTGTAATTTTACCTCGGTACATATACAACTGTCAAAATATGCCAGCGGCAATGACAGCCGCTCACGAAGTAAACGCTGACAGAACCAATCAGCATCGCGGAAAAGAGGCTTCAAAACTTCGATACAAATTGAATTCACACAGTTAACATGCCTTTTTTAGATACGAATTTTAATTTTGTTAATATTATTCTCGACAGAATTGTTTATACTTGTCTATATCACTTTTTATTTTGCTTGTATCTTCAAAGATAGAGAACTACAGCATTTTTTAATTTTTAACTTTCATTTTTATAAAAAATAACTTAGCAAATGTTTCACGATATCGTAAAAAAATTCAGAATTTGATAAAGTTGTACCCATCACTTTTTGTTTCGTTTGTTTTAAAAGTACAGTATTTTTAATTATTACTTATAAAGGATAACTTGACTATTTCTCAAAATATTATTTTTTAAATTTCAAGTATCCTTTATAAAAAATAATTTTGCCATTTTTAAAGATGTTATAAAAACGGATTTTGACAGAAAACTGTTCTGCAGCATTTTTTATTTTATTCATCAATATTTATCATATTTTTTCATAAAGGGTACAAAATTATACATAGCTTTTTTTTTTAATTTTTCATTACTTCTTATAATATATACATATATATATTATTTAATATATACATATATATATATACATATATATATGTGTGTATACACATCATTTTTTATTTTCAACTTATATACAGAATTTGGCTGTTTCTCGAAATATCGTCAAATACCCATTTGACAGAGAACTGTTCGTCTGTACAACTTTTTATTTTATTTATATTTTTTAAAGAATAAAAAATTATATATAGTATTTTAAAATTTTTAACTACTTCCTATAAAAGATAACTCAGCAATTTTTAAAAATATCATTAAACAAAAAATAGGCTTTAATAAAGAATTATTTGTAATAATCTGTATCACTTTTTATTTCGTTTTTCCTCTTAAATGATACAAAACTAGAATTATTTTAGACTACTTCTTATAAAAGATAACTTAGTAATTTTTAAGATATTGTTAAACGCAAAATTCAACAGAAAATTATTTGTATCTGTTGTTAATTGGTTTGTACTTCAAAGAAGTACAGTAAATTTTCATCATTTTTTTATAACAGATGACCGTTTTTTAAGATGTTGTCAGCTATATTCAGCCCGTAGTACCTACTCGACAGAAAATAATTCCTTTCTGTCTGTACCACATTTTACCACTTTGTATTTCATGTGTATCTCCAAAAATACAGCGGTACGACATTACATTTGTAAATATTTTTTGTAGGGAGAAGGGATTATAATTTAGTCGTTTCTAAAGATATCGTCAAACGATCAATAAAATTCGACAATGTATCACGGTCCATCTGTTACCATTTTTATTTTGTGCCTCAAAGGATACAGACTTTTTATTTCATTTGTATTTCAAAAGATAGAGAAGACTGTATAGTTTAAAAAAAATTTTGAAGTATTCTTTATAAGACATAACTTATTCATTTTTAAAAATATTCAATAGAATTCGATAAAGTTATTTGTATGATTGTTTTGTATCATTTTCGGTTTCGTTTGATTTACCTCAAAGAGTACAGAACTATTACAATTTTTTTTATTTTTATGTATTTTTATAAGAAGTAACTTGTGGTCATTTTTTTAAAAATATTGTAAAAAACGGCCAAATTCGGCAAAAATTAGATTTGATACAAAATCGTTTGTATCGTTTGTACTATTTTTTTATTTTGTTTGTGCTATAGAATAGCAATTTTTAATTTTTGAAATTTATAAAAAGTAATTTTACCGTTTTTTCAAATATCGTAAAACTCTTTGCCAACAAGATGTTTCAGAGGAATCAGAGGATTTGTATCCATTCCTGCTTTTTATTTTGTTAGTATATTTCAAATAGTGATATTTTGTAAAAATGGTATAGGTAGCATTTTGATGTTATACTAGAAATTAAAAAATGCTGTTTTCAAGTCTTTTGAAAAAACTTTAAATAATTCTCTATAAATAACGTTAACAAAATTAAAATCATTTAAAGTCAGCTGATCGTTATTTATCAGCTTGTACATTTTAATTTTTTTAAATACGAAGGAAATAAAGAGCGGCACGCGAAGCACAAACACAATGTTATTTTTAATAAATAATAAATAATAAAACAAGCACTAGGTTTACACCGATATACTATATTGCGATTATTTATCTATAAACATTATTTTCGAATTTAAATATAGTAGAATTAATCATGAATAATTATCGTTCGTGCTATGCAACTATAACAAGAACGGCACTTCGCACGCGAACGAGCTCTTGCGCAATGTGAATCGATTTTGTTATACCACAATGTGGTATGATAATATCCATGGTAATCTCTCAATTTTCTTAAATCGCGTTGCTTTCAAAATCACAAAGATTAACCGGTAACCAAGGCGCACTGATTACATAATAGAATAGTTATATAGAATAGTTACAGCGTTAAACATCTTGAAACTGAAGGCTATTAATTGTAAAAATTTAACAGAGAGATACTTTGCAACAAAAAGAAATGAGAACATGCATAATGCAAAACCGAGAAAATGGCATTCATTGAAAATTATAGAAAACTTACTAACTGATAATTATATAATATAAACAAATAAAATATAGATAATTAAATAAAGAATATCGAATCTCTAAACAATATGCACGAATACACAATTAAACAGGTGTACAATATTATGCATGTTTAAAAATATTCTTGACAACAGACCGACCAAGAGAAAAATCAAAAATGACATAGAAAGATAGAATGACGGAGGATGCTGGAACTTTACTCCATATGAGGAATCGGTGATAAAGACATATGATTTCTTTTAATGGACCATAATTGAATAATGTTAGTCCACTATGTCTAAGGAAAAAAATGGTATTCTGAGTGTGAAAGAATATTTTAGTTCGCGACGTAAAAAGAGAAATTTCGAAAAATGCGTATTAAGAGAAACATTGCTTATTCATTTAATTTAGTAAGCAATTCGAGATATAACTTCTTTAATTTTACACAAGTGTAAAATATTCTTGGAATCGAGACAATACGGTATCAATCTCCACAGTGCAAGAGAAAAAAAGTGTAAAAGCGTTTTTAACAAAATGCGTTTTTAACAAATCGCGTTTTATATTTACGATACGTAGCACAGCACGTACTCATGTCTTAGGGGAATTATATGTGACTTTCAACTTTACACAAGTGTAAAATATTCTTGGAATTGAGACAATACGGTATCAATCTCCACAGTGCAAGAGAAAAAAAGTGTAAAAGCGTTTTTAACAAAATGTTTCGCGTTTTATATTTACAATACGTAGCACAACATGTACTCACGTCTTAGGGGAATTATATGTGACTTTTAACTTTACACTAGTTGAAATAGATTGTTTCTCATCGAAACGAGCAACGCACTATTTAAGTGCAGCAGGGAATACAAGATGGTTAAGCTAAGTGAAGTTCAACGAAAACCCGTGCCCTCCTACTATTTACTCTAAACTTAATTTGATAAAGATTAAAGATATATAAAAGATAAGAAAGACTTGAAACATTTCACTTTGAAGAGGGAATTTGTGAAAAAAGTTTTGATATATAAATTTGATAAAGATTAAAGATAGACTTGACGAACCCGGACTAAATAACGCGAGTGAAGTGTCTAGACTGTTTTTTTCTTGTTCGATATAATTATAATAACCTTTCCATTTTCTTATGTATATTAAACCCGAAAGTATTACTCAAGTTTAATTTTCTTTTTAGGTGTATTTTTCGATAAGAATGTTAAATAAACGACTTATGCGGGATCATTTAATATTTAATGAATTATTCAAAGTGAATTGGAAAATGCTGTGTGATTATAACATCTTATAAGTGTAAGTCCCATTTTTATATATGATAAAGTAGTAATAAAGAACCAATTTGTGATTTTTGCCTGATATATATAATAACATTATAGAGTCTCTGCCAAAATTATCAGGGTTTATAAACAAACCTTGATATAAAAAAGGTGAAACACTGAGTTACTGTCTCATTTGAGATCTGAGAGTTGTGACGGTTAAACGTTCTGTTTTGTCTTTAGTAAAAAAACTTTGTTAAAAAGACGTCGGATCCAAAATTATGAAAAAAAATACAAAATCATATAAAATTTATTAAATATATGTACATGCCGTTTATTTTACCTTTTATAAGAATATTTTATTTGATCCATATAAAAACTCGAAAAGAATTGACTAGTCAATTCTTGCACTTTGCAATCGTTGCACTTTGACTAGTCAATTCTTTTCGAGTTTTTATATGGATCAAATAAAATATTCTTATAAAAGGTAAAATAAACGGCATGTACATATATTTAATAAATTTTATATGATTTTGTATTTTTTTTCATAATTTTGGATCCGACGTCTTTTTAACAAAGTTTTTTTACTAAAGACAAAACAGAACGTTTAACCGTCACAACTCTCAGATGTTAAAATAGATTCAATATAAAAAAACTATTAATCTCGGCTCGAATTATTGTGTTACAATAAAAATAAAATCTCGACGGCAATCGGAGCCTATGCGGATGACATGCACAAAATTAATAAATTAAAATGAGATCTCAAGTCAAACTCATTTATTAAATTCTAAACGTTTCGACCCACTTCGGGTCTTCTTCAGTAGCTGCAAAATACAAAGAAACAAAAATAGAAGATAATCGGTACAATCAGAAAATTATAAAACTCGTATACATACAATCCGCAAATAAATTAAATATCATTCTCCTCCCTATTCAAACCGTCCGGCCGTCGGAGTGTCTCCCTAACGGTGACCATCGTCAGGAAGGAAGCGGAGCAGTGACTCCCTTACCAACACTAATCAACATGGTATAAATTAAACGTAGAACAATTCACAAGAATTAAAAATTAAGAACCGGGAAGAACACTCACCCCGACAGCAAAAACAGAGAGAAGACGATGCTACACGTGACACATCACTCTAACGACTGTGCGGTATTCTACCTCGACACAGTCGATACATATATACGCAAAAAACAAATATAAAAATAAAATATGAAAATAAAAATAAAAATAAAAACAACTAAACTAATCGGCACTCATGTCAAAAGTCTAACAAAAAAACCCGGCTATGTAAAATCACAAAGCTAGATTTTGGTAAATTTTTCTATTAACAGATCAAGATTCTCGTTTAATTTATCAGTGTCGCTATGTAAATTTAAACTATTCCTCTGACGTTTTATGTGGATCATTTCGGATATCAAACGTTTACCTAAAAAAGGCTCCTCGTCTAAGACTTTTACATCCTCCCAATTAAATTCATGGTTCAATAATCTATGTTCCGATATGACTGATAATTGTGACGCGTTTCTTTTTATGTTGTTGCGATGTTCTTTCATCCTAGTTTTCAACAATCTACCCGTCTGCCCTACGTACGACGCATCACAATCCATACAATCAATTTTATAAACTACATTATTATGGAGTTCTCTTGGTAACTTATCCTTGTGTACTTTAATGAATTTACGGAGACTGTTAATTGCTGTATATGATGGAATGACATCCAAATCACGTGTAATGTCCTCGATTCTCTTCGATACATTATTAATATACGGAATATTAAAGTACGAAACTTTTTCTGCGTTAGAATCTTGTCATTGCATACATTTGCTCTATTGTTATGCAACTTATTATTATAGCGGAAGAACAACTTTTTTAACCGCGCTTGTAATGTATGAAATATCAAATTGAGAGGATAATTATTAGACAAAAGAACTCCAATCATAGACTCAAAGTTAACTTTATGGAATTTCGGATGAGATAGCCAAAAAACTCTATCTATGAGGCTGATAATGGTGCCTTTTTTATGACAGAGAGGATGCTGCGATTCAAAATTTAAATATCTACCTGAATACGTCGGCTTATGAAACAAATCAAACTCAATGCTCCCATTATTTATAATAATGGTGACATCTAAAAAATTCAATCGGTTGTCAACCCCCTCCTCCATGGTGAACTGCAATCTAGGATGGAAAGAATTGAAAGTGTTTGAATAGGGAGGAGAATGATATTTAATTTATTTGCGGATTGTATGTATACGAGTTTTATAATTTTCTGATTGTACCGATTATCTTCTATTTTTGTTTCTTTGTATTTTGCAGCTACTGAAGAAGACCCGAAGTGGGTCGAAACGTTTAGAATTTAATAAATGAGTTTGACTTGAGATCTCATTTTAATTTATTAATTTTGTGCATGTCATCCGCATAGGCTCCGATTGCCGTCGAGATTTTATTTTTAAAATAGATTGTTCCTCATCGAAACGAGCAACGCACTATTTAGGTGCAGCAGGGAATACAAGAAATTAAGTTCTATAACGTAAAGTCATGGCCGAGGGTACCAGCAGTGACTATATGATGTGATGGAATTATTGAAGGCGGTGGAATTTATCCGTAAAAAGGCAAAATATGTATGTATCAATGAAGAGCAAATGAAGAAAGTGGCGGAGAAGTGGCGGTATGTTTCCTTACTTATTTTAACTTATGTTTACAAAAAAATTTGACATATATTCATGACATATTTTATCAAGATTTATCAATTTTTATTTTACATATATGGAAAAAAAAGAAATTATATAATTTCTCTTTTTTCCACCGCCTTCAATAATTCCATCACATTATATAGTCACTGCTGGTACCCTCGGTCTTTGTAAAATTAAAATTAGATTTTTATTTTATTTTACAATTAGTAAAGGAATGTGTATCTATAAGAAATTTAAAAGAAAATACAAGCGTTTCGAATTTCGAAAACAAGCCATAAACAGCCTATGTTTAAGTTTACGACCTTGTACATGTCGAGTTTATCTTCCTTCGCAGGCAATCTACGTGCCTGACTTTACGTTATAGAACTTAATTAATTCGTAACAAATGTTGATATTTGCAATTGTTTCAGACCGTCGACTATCTGTGACTATGATTTCTGTTATACTGATCTTACGTAGATTGCCTGCGAAGGAAGATAAACTCGACATGTACAAGGTCGTAAACCTAACATAGGCTGTTTATGGCTTGTTTTCGAAATTCGAAACGCTTGTATTTTCTTTTAATTTCTTATAAATACACATTCTTTTACTAATTGTAAAATAAAATAAAAATCTAATTTTAATTTTACAAAGTATTTAATTTTACTTATTATTATTTAATATTGCCATGCGATAATTCGCGAACTCTACTGTAATATTATTTTATATTATATATTTTATATTTTATATACCTTTTCTTCACCGTATATTGCTTCGTCTCCATATATGACTCGAATTCATCGAAAAGTAATTTCAACAATTTGTCTGCTTTGTAATTGGATGATCTCAGACATTCCACAAAAGTCCCTGTAACAATAACTATAATATTTTATTTTAACAACATATATGACAAATTTTTAATGAGTATAAATTTTTTATAAATATAAAATATGTAAATCGTGTGACATTTACATTTAATTACAAAATTCAAGTCCTTTCTATCGAGGAAAGGACTCTACTTTTTTTATAAATATAAAATATGTAAATCCTGTGACATTTACCTTTAATTACAAAATTCAAGTCCTTTCTATCGAGAAAAGGACTCTATCTAACTCTTCGTCACACTTACACTCGCGGTCACGACAAACTGCCGAATCTGTCAACTCACTTTTGGCAGCCGAGCGAATTCGGCGAGTAGGGTGTATAACGCGCGACAGCCAATTAGGGCTTTCCACGGCTTTTCCCTATTCGCGTGATAGTAAAGTAGCGTGAGGGTGATCACGGTACTCCTCGCGACAACTAATTTAATAGTCAAAATTACGCTGTTTAGGTGCGTTATTTCGAGGCTTTCGCGGCCGCGAGCTGCGGGTCTCCTTGTTATCAATCGGCCGGCGGAGTTCTAGCGGGTAGGATGAGGGGTTGTGAAGATTATCCGCGGATTTTCGCAGCCCTCTCTGCACCTGTTGGCAGGTACGCGCCTGCCACCCCCACGGCCGAATTCCTTTGCTTCTGTAACTTTCAGCCACGTGCTTCGTGCATGATGTTTTTGCCGCTTATTTTTGCCGCTTGTCTTTACTTTCCTTAAATAATATTTAAATTATATAGAAAATATTGTATTAATTTAAAATATTAGACTACATTTTTGTATTCTATTGCATATACACATAATAAGAAGTTCACAGGCGTCATAGGTATATTTCTATATTTATTCTATATTTATTCTATATTTATCTGGCATCTTTAAAATATTTCTTATTTTTTTCTTGTCAAAATGGCAAGAATCTTGCAGTGTCGTAAGAAAAAACTAGGAATATAAAATGTAATCTTCTAATTACTATATAGAGTTAACGTTTTATTTAAATCATTTATTTCATTTCTAATTTGTACATAATTTTAAATCACTGAATTTTTATATTTTTGGAGAGAAAATAATTTCGATCTTTGTACATTTTATGTACATTTTATAATATAATTTTAGTACGAATAAATTGTGTAACATTTAATTAAAAAGCACTTCTTAAAAAAATATATTTTATTGCATATAATATATTATTACCCATATTTATGTCCATTATCCATCGCAGCAACAAATTCAATTATCTTAGAACGTGTACGGATTCAGTTGATATGTTTTCTCTGCTTAATCTTAATTATCTCTTTCTTTTTATATTCCATAACTATATGTATTCTATTTTGAGTTTTTGCAAATTGATCTTGAGAGTATTTCTGATTTTTGTCCACGGAAATTCCTTGTACATATTCTATGAGAGAGAAAAAGAGGAAAAGCTGGCTTTCATATTGTGTCGCATTATATAACAATTTTTACTTTACTCGAAAATACACAACACGATTATTTTTAAAGCGAAACTACACTGTTTCTTCGAATAATCTGAAATTGAAACTTTCACCTAAGTCGTGACAGCAGTATCATATAGCAACAGTCGAATAAAAATTAAATGAGGAGCAATTTCGTCGGTTAAGTCTCTGGTTAAACTACTTATATACCTTAGTACTATACTAATATCTCTTTTCAGATACGTTCTTAAAAAGAGACAAAGATTAAAGTTGATAAAATTGATTTAAAGAAATAATTTTAAAGAAAGTAAAAATTTTAATTTTATGCTTACGAGATATTTTATAATCTTTTTTTTATTAAAGTGTTGCATTAATTAACAAACTCAAGAAACAAATGTTCTTTATATAGTTATTCGCGATTGGCGACATTAATAGCGAAACGTATATGTTACAAGCGCATGATATTATTTAATATTTAAGCAATATTCTAGGCGTATTTTTAGAATATTTAATATTCTAAGAATACGTCTAGAATATTAAATAATATCATGCGCTTATAGGAAAATATTATCTACTCAACGTAAAAAAAAAAAAATAGAAATGTGCGCGTGTGACATTTTATATTTATCGTTATGTTCATATTGTTGTTTAAAAGAACGAAATAATCCACTTCTCAGCTGTATGAAAGATAAGAATATGTAATATTATTATGAAAATAATATAAATTTAATTTTAGGCTAAGTAATATAAAAACAGAAAATCTGAAAATACGAGATATAAAGTATCCAAAATACCACTGCGTAATTACACAAAATATTCTACATGTATAAAAAAAGGCCGAAATAACGAAAAAGGTGAAATAACGAAATAGACACGCGTGTCACTTGAAAATTGAAAATGATACATTGTCTCTTTTATTTTTCCACGTTTATTCACAGTCGAAAAGATTGTAATCGAAGCTTTTGATAAACTACAATTGGTAAATCAATATCCATATATAAAAAAAAATTAAACAAAAATGTTCGGTTATTTAGGTAGACATGCAGTTAGTAATCGACAATAAATTCAACGATAATTTTTTGTACGCTGATAGTAAATAAAAATTTTAACTATATGTATATAAAACTTTAATAATTTATACATATTTATACATAAATTTATATGTATATATATATATTAATTTTACTAATATATCTTAACTTTAATTATCATATCAGTTATCAATTAGATAAATAACGTTATGTATTACATTAAGAGTTTATTACATTCAATTGCAAAGAAACTAATGTTTTAATATAAATAATTAGAAATAAATCAGGGGGTCATAAGTCCCGACAATAGATTGGTATTTTTAAATAAATTTTATTATAATTTCTAGTTCTATTTACTTGCAAAATAAATGTATATTATACAAAAAAAACTCTGATTCACGCGAAGAAATTATTTGTCATCAATTTTATTTCATATTGCTTTCGTAAATAGAAAATAACTCCTTCCCAGCTAGAAATAAATAATCAAATTGACATCGATTCAACGTCGATTGGATAAATCGATTTATCGAATCGACGTCGATTAGTCGTTCCGAATTCAACGATTATAATCGACGTCGATTCGATAAATCGATTGTTTCTGACTGGGTCGTTGCATTTAAAAGGTCACTAACCATTTATAACAAACATTATTTGTGACTAAGCTCTCTACCTCGGCAACAATAGCATTGGTCCATTCATCCCTGCAGTCACTGGATAAGGCATCGTTAATAGATATTTCGACAAACGGAATCGAACCATTTACCGTGCTTTTTACCGAGTGTCACGACGTAGTTTATATCCATTTTGTCAGGGAGCGCACTAGTACACGCGGCCGCTCTCTTGTTTCTCTCTGCTTTATGAGTTACTTTTTTGGAAACATGCGCTAAAAGTATCGCTCAAGTATGGTAGCCGTTATATTGTTATTAAATTTTGATAACAGTAGCATATGGATCTTCATATGATTTAATCTTTTACCTAAAATTCTCATATATATTTAGTGTACATAAAATAATATAACACATAATTAAGATCAACCAATCACAGTCAAATATTTAAAAAAAATTTTTAAATGTGTAATAATTGCTCGATTTGCTTGCGACTTTGCGATTATCTATTTGTATATATCTATTTGTACTATTTGTATAAATTCATACATTGATGGTAATCGCAAAGTCGCAAGCAAATCGATCAATTATTACATTCAAGAATTTTTCTAAATACTTGACTGTAATTGTGCATAAAATGTAAGCTTTTTATATTTAAAATCATGTATAATATTATTTTTAAAAAGTAACTGAAAAGTAACGACTCGTTACTTTTTGAGTAACTGTAACTGTAACGAGTTATTTTTAAAAATCGGTAACTTGTAACTGTAACTAGTTACTATACATTCAATAGATACTACAATTATTATTATTATTATTATTATTATTATTATTATTAATATTTCTACATATATAGTACAATAAGAACATTTAATATTTTATTAGTCTCAATTATTAGTATTTTTATAAGTTGCTAGAATAAAAAATTTTTATATATGAAAATATCAAAATCACAATTGTTTTTAAAGTTACAAGATTCTTTCTCTGTTATACATTTATTTATATTTTAGTATTTTAATTTATATTATAGTTATTTTTCTTCATAACAATAATTGGTTAATTATAGAATCGAAAACTTATAGATTTTAAATAATATTATATATCTTTATCATTTTTATAATAAATTTTCGGTTAAGAATAGATAATAATTATCAGATGTATGTGTAATGTATTTTATGAGAATTTAAAAATTAATAACATGTAATTTAATCTCTCCATTAAATGTCTGCGAAATTGCGCGAAGGACAAGATGTTTATATTATCTATTAATGCTTAATAATATAAACAACATCAAAAGATTTTGATTTTGATAAAATTATCAATTATTTATTATATCGATACGAAGCCTTTATTTTTCTCTTAAATTTTGCGTATAAATCAGTAATTAAAAATAAGATTAATATCTAGTATTTTTAAAAATAATTACTATTATGATTTTTTATTAATACGATAAAATAATATAATAATTATATCATGTAAAATAATCGATTTAATTTCCAATATCGGTATATGTATATGTTCAACCATTTATTTACACATAATAAAAAAATATGAAAATTTTATATTTATAAAATATTATGTTATAGTCTACATAATATGTGATAATTAATATATATGGTAAGTGACAAGTGTCCACGTCGATCAGTCTTTAGAATCACTTGATTTCTTTAATTCTTCATCGAATATTTTAGATTGATATAATAATTAAATTTATGCTATTATAATTTATTAATCTTATCTTGTCTTTTTACACAATTATGACGATACTCCGCAATTTATTATTGGGGTTCTGAAAAATATAAATGAGACATTTAAAGGAAACATTAAGATATATTTTAGACATCATATTAAAATATGTCTTTAAGACGTTTTATGTCCCGTTTTTAGATGTGATGTTGTTTAGGACTACACATAATAACATCAAATTATACAGCTTTTATTACATTTTCGTATAAATAAGATCTCCTTAAAAACATTTTTTATATCTTATGCAAAACTTGATTTTATCAAGTGCGCTGCGCGCGCGATTATCTGATATTGTTTCGAATTAGAGAATATAATAAATAACTATATAATTGTTATTTGTTATTTATTTAATTAAATTAATGTTTTAATATTGTATTTTTTTCTATAATTGTTCTCTTGTATAATTTTTCTTATTCTCGATCAATTTCTTAAAATCTCTAATGTTCGATAAAATTGTAGTTATTATTACAGTCGTCCCTGTGTTTGGTACCAAAAATTATGAGTATGGTTACTTACTTTTAGATTATTTACGATAGAAAAAAATTTATTTGTTAATAAACAAAGCCCGGAAGAGTTCCGTTTAACGAGATGTTTATATATATGCGCATAAATTTCTGCGTAGACGCCTAAATACTCATTTAACAATTTATTACAGTCGTCCCTGTGTTTGGT